CTCTCTCGGAGGTACCCCCCCCCCCACCGAGGGTTTTGGGGCCCATGGGGATGAGGAATAGACCCACTACTGCCCTTAACAAGCATGTCGTTATAGGTCGTCTAATTTGCGGTATTTCCTTCAAAGTAACAGTGCATCTGGGCCTCTTCTTTTCATTTACCCCTTCTTGGGGACTCATGTGAGAGTTTCAAAAAGTCATAGTACAGGGGTGTTAGGGTGTAAAATGAAAACCAACGTTTACTAACCCTACTCCCTCCCCCTTTCCCATGGGGTCCCGATAATATTGGACTTTCCAGGAAACTTCCCACGAAATCTCGGAGTCCCTAAGATGAGGTGAAGCCACACACACACACACACACACACACACACAAACAAGTCCAACCTGCCTAAGAGGCAAGGAACCAACAGTTTCCTTTCAAATAATCCAGAACTGTACAGCGGATGTGCATGTAACAGGACCAGAACTTTCTGCCGGAGTTTACAACCGATGAAGGCGAAGAGGGAGAAGATCTCCCGTTAACTCTTTTAGGAGGGCATTTTTCTGGGGTTTGGACAGCATTAATTTTAAGCGGAATTTTTTAAGTGCAACACGGCAAAGCTAAAACCTTCCTGAAGAAAAAGTATGGGCTGTATCGGGACTTATAATATATCAAATTAAAGATAAATAAGTGCAGAATAAATCTAAACTACTTAAATGTCAGTATAACATCAAAATATTATTAAAATCACACAACATTCAAGGATGTTAGACACAAAGGACAATTTTCAAAATAAATAATTGTGTGCTTACCTTATTTTTTACTGGTTCAACAACACTGCTACCCAATTCTAAGAATACACATGCCTTCTCTGTTCAATTATGTATTAGCTAGTCTTTATTTGAAACAATTAATTTAAATGCTTTGGATATTATAATCATTTTTGTATGACATGTCAAATTTCACAACAACCGAAAATCGGAAAAACAGCTGATCAAAACATTTATCTAATTGAAATATTTTGTGAAATTTTCATATCTTAAACTAAATTATCGCTAGTAGATGTGTCCCTTAGATATCAATCATAATATCAAGACTGTTGTCATCATCTGGCAGGGATTCATCAACGATAGAGCAGTATGGACAGTTCTAGACGTTTTCCATTATCATTTAGTATAGAAAAATCACGTAAAAATTGTATCCCATCTAAAAAATTCTTTTAAAATCACAAAATAATGCATCGACCTCGATGAACATCGCAAATGAAAGTACATCCTGTTGTTAATCCTAATTGTTAAAAAACCTGTTCATAAAAGTTCGTTTACCCCACAAACGGAACAAGATTAGAATGTCTCTATCACGAGCCAGTAAACTGGTTTTACGTCTTTAAGGGATAGACTTAAGCGCCAGTATACTGGCTAAACGTCTGAAAAGAGTTAACATCAGGAGATGTAACCAAGCAGAATCTATGACACTGACCACAGTCTTATGCTAGAGTCGTCTAGCGCTACAGGTCATGCCTCACCTCCTGCCTCATCCCAAATAACCGCACACATGGTACATTTCTCCGCAAGATAATAAATATATATCCAGTTAAATCTCCTCATCTCCCTCAGATATTAAAATCTATATGAGGTTAAATCTCCTCATTCCCCATACACAAGAAATCTGAGGTTATATCACCTCATTTCTTACAGGTAAGAAATCTATATGAGGTTACAGCCCCACATCTCCCGCACAAGAAATCTAGAGAAGGTCAAATCTCCTCATCTCCCCCCCCCCCCCCACACACACACACACGCACAAGAAATCTGTTTCAGATTATATCTCCACATTTCTCTCCATTTAAGAACAAAAAAAAACAACAAAAAAAAAAGAAATCTACATGAGGTTACCTCCCTCCCCACCTCCCTCATATACGAAATCTACATGAACTTGTATCTCCCACAAAGGACGTATTTCGTGTAGAGGTGCAGATAGATGCATTTTTGTTCTGAGCTCAGCAGTCATCTGTTGTAAGTATTTCCGCAAAAAAACACACACACATAAGTAAAGTAAAGGACATTTCCCACACCTGCAGGCATATTTAGGCATATAGGGCTAAACCTTTATTTTATACACTAATCGAACTGGGTGGGTGACGTGGTCAGCAAAACACCGGCCACGTTGACTTACCAGGACTGTAAGTGGTGCCCACCAACTTAAGGCTTGGTCGAGGGTCTTTTTTTTTTTTTTTTTTAGAAAAAAAAAAAGTAAATCCATAAATAACATTTAAAAAGAAATGTATCGTTTGCATGTTGAAGACAAAGACTACAAATAATGACTTTTCTTTGGAAGGGGTGTCACCATCCGCTAAAGCATTAGTGTTAGTTTTAAAAAAAAATAATTTGATAAGCTTATTAACCATAGCGATGTCTGGGCGCCATGTCTTAATGAAAACTTGAATTTTTGCCACAATGGACAGCTATTCCTTAATTTAAGCATTTGCAACCAGTCCACCATCTTCTTTTTCTTGGCTGACGACTCGCCTTACACGTCGGAGGAGGGACGAATATTGACTTTTTTTTTCGGGCGAATTTCAATCAATAATTTACACACACACACACACAAAACACACTTTTTCAAAAGACGAATATTGGCGTGGTCAAATACTGGAGTTCCACTGTGCTGTTATACAGGCGTTCACCGGTTACGTGTAACCGGAAGTCCAGTCTGGCCTAGGACTGTGTCTATCTGTACGTACACAGCGATGTGGTACAGCTAAAAGTCCTGCAGCACTTTACTGCATAAAACGAGCATGTTTATTTTTCGGCCAGCATCTAACTCGGGTCAGTTTCGGACATCCTAGAGCGAAACTTGTTTTAAACTAGTCTGAATGAGATAGTCTAGTTCAAGTGTGACCTTCTAGGAAGTTTAAAAACACTGTGACATGTCCAGCAAACCGGCAGTGGATTACTATAGTGCTCACAGAAAATGAAGAGATTTCAGGAACCGTCTGGAAAAGATGGACAACACAAATATCAGACACGCTGAAAAGTACTATATACGAAGAAAACAGAGGGGCCCGTTCAGAGATCTAACCCTGACGCCGTGAGGCTTTCCAGGAGTAGAAAAACGAAGAAGAAGAAGAAGAAGAAGAAGAAGAAGAAGAAGAAGAAGAAGAAGAAGAAGAAGAAGAAGAAGAAGAAGAAGAAGAAGAAGAACAAGAACAAGAAAAAGAAAAAGGAGCATGAACCAACCCGATATGGCCAACCACCTACGTGCCCACTGACCCCAAGACTGACTCCCAGAAACAGGAAATCTCATGTGGAAAAACACGGACATGTTTGGAATGACCGGTTTTGCGTCATGTGATAACAGCAGCTTTTAATTCAACAACAGTGGAGCTCCGAAACTCAGTCTGGGCTATACCCAACACAACAACAACGTTGGGCCAGCGAGCCACCAGCCCCATCTCGCCACGTCAGCAAATGAGGAATGCGAAGGAAAATAAATGTCCGCAGTTGTCCTCTCATAAGACGCAGGTCCACACAGTGACTTCATGATACGGTCTGTTCTTGCTGCCAGATATTAGCAACGAATTCGACTCGAATAGGGAGGTCTTAAAATGGAAACCTTTAAACAGTAATAGAAACTAGAATAATCATGCAATCGTCTTGTAACTTTCACTGTTATCGTTGAAGATGCCAAAAGTGTTAAGCGCATGACTTTACTGTGCAGACGAACACGGTGAAGGTATAATGAAAGATAACGTGCACCAAAGAGGAGCAGCGTTATGTTTTTTGTCTCCTGGTGAGACCTATCGAAATTAATCGGCGAATGAAGGTCCAGTATGATGATGCATGTCTGTAAGTCCAGCAAGGAGGTTTGAAAACACTAGGGTCACTACTGTCTGTGCCTGATTCAGTCATCAACAGTCTGTCACACTAGGGTCACTACTGTCTGTGCCTGACCTGGTCATCAACAGTCTGTCACACTAGGGTCACTACTCGCTGTGCCTGACCTGGTCATCAACAGTCTGTCACACTAGAGTCACTACTCGCTGTGCCTGACCTGGTCATCAACAGTCTGTCACACTAGAGTCACTACTCGCTGTGCCTGATCCCGGTCATAAACAGTCTGTCACACTAGGGTCACTACTCGCTGTGCCTGACCTGGTCATCAACAGTCTGTCACACTAGGGTCACTACTGTCTGTGCCTGATCCCGGTCATCGACAGTATGTCACACTAGAGTCACTACTGGCTGTGCCTGATTCAGTCATCAACAGTCTGTCACACTAGAGTCACTACTCGCTGTGCCTGACCTGGTCATCAACAGTCTGTCACACTAGGGTCACTACTGTCTGTGCCTGATCCCGGTCATCAACAGTATGTCACACTAGGGTCACTACTGTCTGTGCCTGATCCCGGTCATCAACTGTATGTCGCACTAGGGTCACTACTGGCTGTGCCTGACCCAGTCATCAACAGTCTGTCACTCTAGGGTGTTAATGACCGGGTCAGGCACTCTAAGTAGTGACCCTAGTGTGACAGACTGTTGATTACCAGCTCAGGCCTTGTGAGTGTGACAGACCCTGGTGTGACAGACTGTTGATGACCAGGTCAGGCACAGCCAGTAGTGACCCTAGTGTGACAGACTGTTGATTACCAGCTCAGGCCTTGCGAGTGTGACAGACTGTGAGTGTGACAGACCCTAGTGTGACAGACTGTTGATGACCAGGTCAGGCACAGACAGAGAGAGAGTGTGTGTGTGTGAGTGAGTGAGAGAGAGAGAGAGAGAGAGAGAGAGAGAGAGAGAGAGAGAGAGAGAGAGAGAGTGACACGAGAGCGAGAACGAAAGAACGAAACTTTATTTTAAAAGGGTCAGAAATAGGGTAGGTACGTTTATCTTACACAAGGCGGTTGAGAGAGAGAGAGAGAGAGAGAGAGAGAGAGAGAGAGAGAGAGAGAGAGAGAGAGAGAGAGAGAGAGAGAGAGATGGCATCCACAGCTATGATCTGTGTGTACATATGTGTGCTTACCAAGTGTGTAGGGTTTCTTGTTACGACACTTCTCCAGGAGGGCAGGAGTCGATGGTGCCAGCCGGTTCTCCTTCATAAACTCCCCGAAATCCTGGAAGACACAGAGGTCAACATACGGTCAATGGACAAACACGTACCACAGCCACAAGTTCACTACCAGCTACACGGTCTAGCCTGGACACAGGCAGAGCTCTCTCTACACACCAGGTCAACAGATGAACAGCTACAACTGCAACAAGCTAATTGCCAGCTAACTTGTCTCAGCTACGCCCCTGTTTACAAGACGCCTAGGCGCAAGGAACCTGGGAGACCCAGGTACCGTAAGCTCCCCCCCCCCCGCCACCCATTTTCCTAAGGGTAAAAGCTATGTTAGACGCCCCAGACCCTGCCATATACACACTAGCTCACTTCTGATTGGTGGTTCCTGAGCCCTGTAGCCTTCGCACAAGGTTACTGAGGATGTTCCGAAATGCCGTCGATATCGTGTGTTGTATATTTCAGCACGCAAGCGCTTTTAACACTCCAAAAACATTGAGAAACTGGGTCTAACACAACCCTCCTAGAGAGAGCTGCGAGCCATGTCACAGGCATTCTCTTTCTCAGAATGAAAACGTAAATGCAAGACAGTAAGCAAACAGCATAGCGGGATACACCCGTAACCTTCAGGAAAGTCGAAGATGTTTCTACAAATCTGGTCAACGGATGAACAGCTACCACGGCAACATGTTCACTGCCAGCTACCTTGTCTCAGCTGGACACAAAACAGAAATACCTGGTCACAAGAAGCCTAGGCGCCCGAACCTTGGAATCCCAGGTACCTTAAGGCCGTCCCTTCTCCCATTTTTTTTTTAAAATTCGGGCCTTACGGCCCCTTTCCTTCCCAAATAACACTGTAAGCAGAATAAGAAGTCCCCTTTAACAATTTACGGAAATTCTCTTTCAAGTATTTGTTTATAATTGTAGGTGCTGTTCACGTTTCCAGACCCACGATTAGAGTAACCTTACTTGCCACTCATGCCTTCTTATGTCACTGGAGCTCTCCTGTGTTGCGGGGAAGTCATTTTTCCTTATTCTGAACGGTTTAACCGTTCCCTCTTTTCTCGTCTTCTCGCTGCTCGCTTGCGTGATTATTTTCATGTTCCGCTACCTGCGCGACGGTTCGGAGTAAGAAAACATCGATATTTTTCTATTCCTATGCTTCTTGCAACTCCTTTCTTTCTCTCAGGGGGGGGGGGGACGTTTCCCCCGCAGTACTTCTTGCTTGTACACAGGCGCCTGCAGCGCCTGAAATATGAAATAGACTCATCACAACCTCCCACAAACATTACATACCCCGAGCGAACGCCAAACCAAGCCATATAATATCACCCCCGCAACATAGGGGAGGTCCAGTGACCTATGGAGGCATACATGGCAAGGGAAGTTACTCTAATCCGGGGGCCTAGAAACCTGAACAGGACCTTTTATTATTTCAAGTCCAGCATATTTATTTACCACTAAGCACATTAATAATTTTAATAATAACAATAGCTGTTATATTACTGAGCAATTTAACAACGCTTTAGCCCATTGAGGCCCACGCCCCATCATTCTCTAGGGATGGAAGGTCTCAGGGGCCTTGTTTTACTGCGCAATACTAATAATTTAAAATGTTATTATTACTGTTATTGCAAGATTAAACAACGTCTAACCCATCGCCGATGGTAGAAGATTATTGGAGGCGGAGTGGAGGGATGACCCTTGTCTTGTCCGGCTCTGCACTATTATTGTCTTGCTACAAACGATAAGGCTAATGTCCGGCAATGACCCGACTGGCCTGCTATTACACGAGTGACCCAAACATGCAAACATGGACGCCAGTGCGGATAACTGGTAGCGGAATGATAAGCCAGGGAAATTGGCATTGATCTCGGAAATAACTAGTTGACTCTGGCACACGATACAGCCTCGATGTGATACCGTTGTTCGTGGAGCCAGTGTGTCTGTCTCCGGAACAGCGAGCCGTCCATGTCACGGAACGGTCTTGCCTGTCCGTCTGATTATGCCGTGCCTACCTATAATACTCCACTGCCCGTCGCCAGCCGTAACGTTGCCGCCGTTTCCTCCCGTTTTATAATCTAAAAGATCGCTAATAAGTGATTACATTACAAATAAATGTGTAGACACAGAACTGTAGGCTGCCCCTAGCGTCACAGATAGTTCCGGATTCAATAACAGACCCCAGTTAGGAATTCCGACCGGCCGCAGACGGAGCATCGGCTGTTATAACCGGTTCGCTATGATGTCGATTCTCAAACCAGTAATCAGGACTGGCAGCATGGGTCACATATACCGCGGGAGTGGGGGCGGGGGTGGGGGGTGGATATGATGTTGTTTCTGACGCGCTCAAACCAAACCCATATTCGCTCTCCTCCTCCTAACTTTTCCCATGCGCACACTAACACCCGCTAACATACAACAAACCAGACTCAGAGAGATCTCATTACATTTATCATTAAGCTACTGTTGTAACTGCTACTACTGCTACTATTATTACTACGGTTGTTCTGCTACTACTGCTACCACTACTGCTACTATTATTACTACGGTTGTTCAGCTCTACTGCTACCACTACTGCTACTACTATTACCACGGTTGTTCTGCTACTACTGCTACTACTATTACTACTGGTGTTCTGCTACTTCCACTATTACTACTGTTGTTCTGCTACTACTGCTACTACTATTACTACTGTTGTTCTGCTACTACTGCTACTACTATTACTACTGTTGTTTTGCTACTACTGCTACTATTACTACTGCTGCTGTTATTACTGCTACTTCTATTCTACTTCCTCATTTTCTATTGCCCATATATTCCCAGGAGTTAAGATCCTCACACCCCTAACCATTAACATCTCCACAGCTCACAAAATGGATGAATCAATCAATCAAGAATATATATCACTGCACTCGGGACATTGCCACATGTGCGCCGTCCCCATCTTCAGTAGCTAAGGAAAGATCAACAGTAAAAGTTGCACAATGATTCAATGTCCGCTCGTGTCACCTCCTCGGTGCTGAACATCTCCCAGAACCTCTACTCCCCCAACCCCGTTGACGTTGAATTTCTTTCAATATATAAATTCTCTGTCTGATTGACTACACTGTTAATTGTATCCCATTGAGCTAACACAATGCCTCCCCGTTCCCCGCCCCAATGTACCCCTTACTGTCCCTCCCTCCCTCACCAGGGTTTCCCTCAGTGTTCCATCCTACAACACATTTCTCCAATTTTCTTCCCTGACAGTTCTGCAATCCTTCTTTTATATCTTTAGCCTCGTGGGGTCAGAGAGATACAGCCGCAGACACCGGCTATGAACTGAGATACACACATGCAAGACACCAGCACGGATTCAGACATTACACACAAGATACGCACATACACGCACCAAACATTATCATCGTCACTATCATTGTTCTCTAGCATTGGGTGTCGTTGGGTCAAAAGTTGACGTTAGATATCTGATTAGCTCCTACATTTCACAGGTCAGGTGCGAAGCATTTCATGGTTGTATTCCAAAGTCTGCCAAGTTCTGCATCCAAGTGTTTCTTGGTCTGCCTCTTCTAACATCCACCTGGACTGTGTCCTGTAGTATTGTTGTTGAAGGTCGTTAGATCTTATTTCATGTCCTATCAGACAATTTGTGGCAACGACACCTTGTACTAGATTCATCGAGAAAAACAACAGATCAATTGGTTTGGCCATCTCGTTAGAATGCAACAAGATCACATTCCATCACGGGCACTCAATCTCAGAAGATCATCTACAAGAGCAAAAGGACGGCCGCGTAAACATGGATCGACAACATAAAGGTAGTCTACGCCTTCACGGCATAACAACAGCCAGTGGCAGCCAACGTGCATTGGATAGAAAATTATTCCTCCCCACGCCGCTCAACGGCAGAAGTGGTTTATGATGATGCAGATGATGATCACTGCAATTTCCGCCATTTCGCTGTAGTTAAAAGTGATGCATAGTTTACAATGAGCTGGCTAATTCTTCGGCGAACCTTGTCATCTATGATGTGGTCTGTCTATGATATGCCAAGAATTTGTTTAAATGAAAGATCGCATTTCCAGAGCTCTTCTTTTCGAGTTCAGCTGTTATTGTCCACGTTTCACAGCCTTACGTTAAAAAAAAAAAAATATTTAAAGTCGAGAAGAACGACTTCATTGCTACGGGTTTTATTCCATATTGCTCGGTCTCTCTCCGCAGAACGGCTAGCCGCCTGCCGAGAGCATCAAACAGAGCACGGACTCCTTAGTTCCGGCGACGATCCACAGGGATCTCCACAAAAACTGCACTCGTTAACTGAAGGGCGCAGCTATGGAGCGAACCCACGACCTTCAGAGCGCGAAGCAAATGGTTTGACCACTTCGCCACGAAGAAACTCCAAAGCCATACGTAAACGTACCAACAGTTAAATGCTAAGAGCAGTCGAAGCCTAATTTTAATGTGAAATATTTCTGGATCTCCATATATGCTCTTTGGTAAGGACCTATGTTGTCTGGACAATTCTAGGCATGCTTTCTTGTCTGGAAACTATGATATTTACAATGAATCCTGGTTAGGTTCAAGTAAATCTTCCCAAACAAAGTAGGTCAATTTTCATTCGCACGTTTGTTGGGCTGGTCGACTTTCCTGAAGGTTACTGGTGTGTCCCGTTCTGTTGTTTGCTTTCTGTGTTGACCTGCATTTATGTTTTCATTCCGAGAAAGAAAATGCCTCTGACACAGGTTGCAGCATTCTCTAGTGGGGTTGTGTTAGGACCATTTTCTTCATGTTTTTAGAGTGTTAAAAGCGCTGGTGTGCTGAAATATACAACATGCGATATCAACGGTATCGCGGAACACCCCCGTAAACTTGTGCGAAGAACACAGGGCTCAGGAACTACCAAACAGAAGTTTGCTAGTGTGTATATGGGCGGGGCGTGGGGAGACTAACGTTATGTGTTCCTGCATCCTAAATATTTTTAATGACTGACTTCAACAGACGCATACACCACAACACACATACACATGGCCAGCACATCTAATACTTACATACAAATAACACATACCGTTATCCTGTAGTCGGTGACTCTGCCACCACAACCTTCGCTGATGGATGGTGGATCCTCGAGGATGGATCGTGAGGTGGGTATGGAGTGGATGAAGATCTCGCCGCCGTGAGCGGCCAGCATGTGTGAGATAACCTTAGCGCCACTCTTTCTTGGCTGCTCCAACATCACTGCCCGACCTGTGTCAATAGTTATGTTAGTGTCAGTGTGTCATCTCTGGTGCATGACTGTGGGTGTCACAGAGCTGTCACGTGCTGTCACAGACTAGCAGCCTGTCATGTCACAATGTACCTCACACTAGGACACGTTTCTCGAAAGTATCTTCGTCTGTTGGTTTGCATGACGCGAGTCTACAACCACACGTGTCTTCTGAATGAACCGTTCAGTCTTCTGAAAGTTCACACGAAACGAGTCGATACTTACAACTGCCTTCTGCACGAAGTGTACGATTTTCTGCTGCTTCACATACGCCGAATCTATACCTAGCTGTGTCTCCTGCATGAACCCTCCTGTCTTTTGTTGCGCCGTCTCTCTTTTCCGTACCAGTTGCAACTTGATTAAAAGCCCGCCTTTTATTTAGCCCTCAGTGTTGAATATCTTCCACTACATCTGCTAACCCCATCTCAAGAATCTTTCAATGGAATGGATTCTTTGTCTGTTCTACTGCACTGCCAATCTGATTCCAAGGAGCCTTCACCACTTCTGCTTTATCGTAAAGTAGCTCACTGTCCCGAGGGGCGGCAGCAGCCAATCTATCAGCCTGCTCAATACATAGCACACCCGAATATCCAGGACAGAAAAAGAATGGGTCAGCAAGCCGCAATACAATCGAGACAGTGCAGACAACATAGAGAGACAGACAACCCAGACAGACAAATTAGACAGACAGACAACACAGAGAGACAGACAACACAGACAGAAAACCCAGACGTACAACTTAGACAGACAACACAGAAAGACAGCCTAGACAGATAACCCAGACATATATCACAGACAGACCACATAGATACACAACTACTATACCAAAACAAAAAGTACAACAAGCACAAGGACTGGGGTTCCAGGCAGACAACATGGACAGACAGTCAAGACAGACAACATAAAAAAAAAGTAAAAACAGACAGACAGCCCAGACAGACAACATAGACAGACAGACAGCCCAGACAGACAACACAGACATACATATAACATAGACAGATAGCCTAGACAGATAGACTAGACAGATAACATAGACAGACAGCCCAGACAGACAGTCTAGACAGACAGACAACATAGAGAGATAGCCCAGACAGACAGCCCAGACGGACGAAGAAAGGCACAGAGACAGCAACACTCACCACTGATGAGGAAGTTGGTCAGACACGACGAAGGCCGGCTGTTGACGTCCACTGGACAGATGCGGTAAGCGGCCGAGCAGTTGTGCAGTTCTGGGGGTAGGCAAGACAGTGGTCATCATTACCGTCATCGTCTCTTCATCATTACCATCATCAACACTGAAAACTACACACAACTATATGCATGACCGTGTAGTTGTCTAAGTTATACCTTCCTTTCTATGACCGTTTTTTTTTCTGCCTTTTGTCTGTCTTTGTCAGATTTTTTCATTGTATCTTTCCACTTTTTTTTGCTTTTCTTTCTTTCTTTCTTTCTTTCTTTCTTTCTTTCTTTCTTTCTTTCTTTCTTTCTTTCTTTCTTTCTTTCTTTCTTTCTTTCTTTCTTTCTTTCTTTCTTTCTTTCTTTCTTTCTTTCTTTCTTTCTTTCTTTCTTTATTTGTCTTTCTTTTGTACATTGAGTTTTTTCTTTCTTTCTTTCTTTCTTTCTTTTTTTTCTTTCTTTTTTTTTTTTTTCTTTCTTTCTTTCTTTCTTTCTTTCTTTCTTTCTTTCTTTCTTTCTTTCTTTCTTTCTTTCTTTCTTTCTTTCTTTCTTTCTTTTTGTCTTTCTGTATTTCTACAACTTCTGACAAAATTTCCTTTATTGTTTCTTAATTTGATCTTTTCTCTTTCTTTATAAAAATCGCATTTCTGCCTCCATCCACTCCTACTGTCTTTTCCTTCTACTTAGTGAAAAAAAAAAAAAAAAACAGCTTTGCGTGAATACTGATATAATTCTAAACACAGACACATGCAGGGGCAGAACTCACCCACAACACTGGACTTGGGCGTGCACCATCTTAGCGGGGCAGTCTCCAGAGGCAGGCCCTCCTTGGACGGGATCACCAGACCCTCAGCGTGCTCTAGAGGGACAGAAAGAGATGCAGCCTTGACACCGAGCACTACATTGTTCCAGACAAACTACGTTTCCAGGCTCAGATACCACCAGTATCAAAAATAGACAATGGCGGTTACCACAGGATTCGGCATCTTCTCCCCCCCCCCCCCCCCAATTCTTCTTCTTCACCTTCTTGTTTTCCGTCATCCTCTATTTTTCCTTCCTTCTACGCTTCTCAGTCTTCTCCCCACCTCCTCATCTTCTTCTTCTTCTTCTTCTTCTTCTTCTTCTTCTTCTTCTTCTTCTTCTTCTTCTTCTTCTTCTTCTTCTTCTTCTTCTTCTTCTTCTTCTTCTTCTTCTTCTTCTTCTTCTTCTTCTTCTTCTTCTTCTTCTTCTTCTTCTACTTCTTCTTCTTCTTCTTCTCCCCCTTTTTCTTCTTCTTTTTCTTCTTCTTCTTCTTCTCCCCCTTTTTCTTCTTCTTTTTCTTCTTCTGCTCCTCCTCCTTCTTCGTTTTTTCTTACAAACACGGTGGGAACTGTGTGCGTGGTTTACGGTTAGCCTGTGATGTCCGCGCTTTTCAGCCTAACATATCCGAATTTAGCAAATCCCTGTAAAGCTGCCTTTTAAGACATGCTTGCTATGGGTCTGTGGATCGCATTCCCATCCACCGCCCTCCGCACTTTTCCCCCACAGAAAAGTGCATCAATGTCAATATGTGGACCACGTTATATTTGTGAGTGATGGTACTTTAGTGATGGTACTTTAGTAATGCTACTTTATTTATGGTACTTTAGTGATATTACTTTATAGGTGGTACTTTGGGGATGATACTTTAGTGATGATACTTTGAGAATAGTACTTTGATGATGGTACTTTGGTGATGGTACTTTGACAATAGTACTTTGGTGATGGTACTTTAGTGATCTTACTTAAGTTATGGTACTTTGGTAATAGTACTATAGTAATGGTACTTTAGGAATGGTACTTTAGTGATGGTACATTAGTGATGGTGCTTTAGTGTTGGTACTTTGGTGTTGGTTCTTTAGTGGTGGAAATTTAGCAATGGTAATTTAGTGTTAGTACTTTGGTAATGATACTCTGATAACAGTACCTTGGTGATGGTACTTTAGTGATGGTAATTTAGTGATGGTACTTTAGTAATGGTACTCTGGTGATGGTAGTTTAGTGATGGCTCTTTAGTAATGGTATTTTAGTTATGATACTTTGGCGATGGTACTTTGGTAATAGTACTTTAGTAATGGTATCATTCAAAACATTGAGTGAAACATATAAGGGACTGCAAGTGGTGTCAGCACCCACGAACTACGTCATTACCAAACTAACAAAAGTGCGCTAACAAATAACAGACGAATCTAAGTCGCAGCACGCGAATTTCCGTAGACCTGTTTGCCCTTACTTTTGGAGCTAGCTGTGGCTTCCTTCTTGCCTCATCTGCCATATACGTCCGCCATATTTTACATTCTACACACGGAATATATTGAGCAGTAAACACAATCATATGAACAGTGAGGATGGCGAGGGCTTAGATTACAGGTGTTACACTGATTAACGTGAGAATGGGAAGCTGCTGGGAAAATACAGATAGGAATTCCATCTTCATGGGGAAATGGAACATAAGAACGAACAAATGAATGAACTTTATTTCCAAAGAGGTACAAAGTGGGCACGCAGGCTGGTCTTACATTTAGCCCTGTCAAGCACTCATCATTCCTACGGTAATTTCATGTTCATATTTTAAAAGTCATAGTATTTAATTTTCAAAGGGTGACAAATTGGGCACACAGGCCTGTTTTAATTACGTCCTTCCAAACAACACATGTCTTTCACACAACAGTTGCATTTTATCATTAAGGCACGTTATGTTCATTTTAGACATAAATATACACCCACATACATAATACATACACACATACATACGTACATACACACTCGGACATATATACATATAGACACACATTCACAGATTCAAAGACACACGCAGCCACACACATACACACACACATACACACACAGAGATGGGGGAAGAGAGGAGAGAGAGAAAAAGAAGCCGACCACATATCAGGCCAACACACATATATACACACAAATAGAACGAACGAACTGTATTTGAAAGTATGAATTCGTCATTAATGACTTTGTGTGTCTACTAAGTACACATAGAAAACTTTATTGAAAAAAAAAAAAAACACACACACACACACATACAATTTCTGTATGAAATTAGCGAGTTTTGTAGGGCGGAATGTAAGACACTTAATGACTTATATTTACGGACAGACCGCAAAGAGTAATTTTGAAGTCAGTGAACAATAGATGTTGATCAAACTGGCCTTGCAAGAAACTGCCTGATGAATAGAATGTGTCAAAACGTCGTGTAACAGTACACCATCTTCCCCCCTCCCCTTCCCCGCTATGGGACCCGGCCTCTGATAAATGATCGATTAATTAATAGACTTGACCAAACAGGTTGGACCAATCGAGACGTCGGAACAGCAGGCCTCAAAGCCCATTGGTTACTCTGCAGTGAAGAGAACAATAAACCACGGTGTAGTTAGTAAATATCGATTAGACTTGGCGGGTTTATTTGTCGTCTGCTTTCTGTCTACGTCCATTAACTTGCCGCCACCACAGGGCGCTATCTAAGACAAGACTGTCTCTCTGGGTGTCTGCTTATCTTTTGTTCCTTTTCTGTTTTGCTCTACTAGGCGTTGCAGGTTTACGGACGATAACTAGGAAATGCTCGGTTGCCCGGTAGACTGTGATGTTGTAGAGTAGAGTCTCAAGGTGTCAGTGACTGTTTCAATCCATCTTCTTCTTGGTAATAAGGCACAACCAATGGCATCACAAAAGAGACAAGGCGTGTAATTAATCAATACAAAACAGGCGGCATCAGTTGTTTTACTCTCGTGGGGCTAGTGATAGTGTGATCGGGGCACCTGTGGATCTGTCCGGAGTGCTGTGTTGATACCCCTACTAATTATATAAGATCATCATTATTATCATCATCATAACTGTGTCCTGTTGTATGTGGTTTATTGAAGTTCTTCGCCGCAGCCGCAGGGGATAACATTTTATCTCCTGTCTCCAGTATTGTCATTTTCAGTAATGCAGATTGCCGGTCTCAGCTATTCCTGGCTAGTTTCCGGTGATCGCATGCGTATCAGAGCTTCAACTGGCCAGACAGACATGTAGTTTCTCTCAGAAAAAAACTTTAGTTAAGTGGCTTTGTGTATACATTCTTATACTGTTGTCGTAATGCTATAAAAGATTGATCCTAATATCGCCCCTTTTTTCTTCCTTCTGTTGAGACAGATCATGCCGCTTGAACAGTGATACGATTCCTCTTGTCGGAGGGTGCCAAAAGTTCAGAAATTCAGCGCAGATTGTCAACGAATTATAGAGAAACTGCACTATATGGTAAAACTGTGTTTTTATGGATCGAGAAGTTTTAAAGTGGTCAAACAAGTGTGACGCATAAAGAGGGAACAGGACGGCCATCAACCTCCACTACAGATGACAACATTCAGCAAGTTCGAGAGATGGTTGTGACGAACAGGAGAATTGCCATCGATGAGGTAGCAGATACGTTAAACATTAGTCATGATTCTGCACATCAAATAATCCACGAAGAGCTCATTTTTCTTGAAGTGTGTGCACGGTGGGTACCAAAAAGTCTTACTGCAGAACACAAGCTCACTCGTGCAAATGTGGCTTCACGATTAACCGAAAAACCGTTTATTTGGAAGGTATATGACAGCTTGTTGACTGTAATTGAAAAATGGGTTAGGTTTAAGTTAGTCTCCCCAAACAGAGTAGGTCACGTTTAATTTTCAAATTTGCCCCCCCCCCCCCCCCCCGGTGGTCTACTTTCCTGCAGGTTAAGGATGTGCCACTCTTGTTTGCTTTCTGGGTTGTCTTGCATTTACGTTTTTATTCTGAGAAAGAGAATCCCTGTCGCATAGGTTGCAGCACTCTCTAGAGGAGCTGTGTTAGACCCAGTTTGTCCATGTTTTTGGAGTGTTGAAAGCGCTGGCGTGCTGAGATATAAACACGCGATATCAACGGTATTGCGGAACACCACTGTAACCTTGTGCCAAGCGCACGTGGCTCAAGGTCTACCAATCAGAAATAAGCTGGTGTTATATGGGCAGGATCTGGGAAGCGAAACATTACTTTTACAGTAAAATGAAAAGATTAGATAATTTCTGACTCCTCCTCGTATTTAAGCACCATGTTGTTTCATGAAGAAAGAAGTTTGAATATATGTTGTGAGTCAGCCAGAGGATGGACATTTTTTTCTCCCATCACATTCAAATCTGGACAGGACAGCCGTGACCCGGTGTGTAGATGCTATGACTCAATTAATACCGCTCCAAGAGCGTGTCCGACTAGCATTAATTATATTACTCTGATATGGAAATATCCGGCACGATATTTACATGTCCGTCGCATCGTATGAGTTGTGAGAATAGGCGCATTAATTTTGTTGTAGGAGTTCAGGGCTGCTATATCCATTTGGAGTGAGAGATGTCGACAATAAGGACTGTCTCTGATGTGGGAATTTAAGGCCGCATCGAAGGTCTGTGATGTGGGATTTAGGGCTACATGACGGTCTTTGATGTGGGAATTCTAGGTTACACGGACGATCTTTGAAGTGGGAATTCTAGGCTACACGGACGACCTTTGATGTGGGAATTCTAGGCTACACGGACGGTCTTTGATGTGAGAATTGTAGGCTACACGGACAGCCTTTGATGTAGAAATTATAAGTTACAGGAACGGTCTTTGATGTGGGAATTCTAGGCTACACGGAGGGTCTTTGATGTGGGAATTGTAGACTACACGAAGGGTCTTTGATGTGGGAAATCTAGGCTACACAGACGGTCTTTGATGTGGGAATTCTAGGCTACACGGATGACCTTTGCAATGGATACTCTCAGCAATACCTCTAATTAATGCAAATGTAGTCCGAATAAAGTGTCGCGTCACATTAGTTTGGAAATTTGGAAAGCTTTCCAGGACCATCATACTTAGCGAGAACCTGTTGTTAGCTCTACCCCAGGTGTAGACTATTAGTCATTAGGTCTACCCCAGGTGTAAACTACCTGTTGGGAGCTCTACCCCAGGCGTAGACTATCTGTCGTGAGCTCTACCCCAGGTGTAGACTATTAGCCATTAGGTCTACCCCAGGTGTAAACTACCTGTTGGGAGCTCTACCCCAGGCGTAGACTATCTGTCGTGAGCTCTACCCCAGGTGTAGACTATTAGTCATTAGCTCTACCCCAGGTGTAAACTACCTGTTGGGAGCTCTACCCCAGGCGTAGACTATCTGTCGTGAGCTCTACCCCATGTGTAGACTATCAGTCGTGAGCTCTACCCCAGGTGTAGACTATCAGTCGTGAGCTCTACCCCATGTGTAGACTACCTGTCGTGAGCTCTACCCCATGTGTAGACTATCAGTCGTGAGCTCTACCCCATGTGTAGACTATCAGTCGTGAGCTCTACCCCAGGTGTAGACTATCAGTCGTGAGCTCTACCCCAGGTGTAGACTATCTGTCGTGAGCTCTACCCCATGTGTAGACTACCTGTCGTGAGATCTACCCCAGGTGTAGACTATTAGTCGTGAGCTCTACCCCAGGTGTAGACTATTAGTCGCGAGCTCTACCTCAGGTGTAGACTATCAGTCGTGAGCTCTACCCCAGGTGTAGACTATCAGTCGTGAGCTCTACCTCAGGTGTAGACTATCTATCGTGAGCTCTACCCTATGTGCAGACTGTAGTGAGCTACCTCAGATGTAGATTAACTGTCGTGAGCTTTACCCCATATGTAGACTATATATCGTGAGCTCAACCTCTGATGTAGACTATATGTCGTGAGCTTTACTTCAGATGTAGACTATATATCGCAAGCTCAACATCAGATGTAGACTATCTGTCGTGAGCTTTACCCAAGTATCCTGTACCTATACGGCTAACACACTGAAAAATTAAGTTCACTTTCGGGTGTAATTAAACGTCACATCACAGACGACCCGACAATGACCTATGGCACAAACGATGACACATTCCCATGGAAGAAGTGGTAATAAACAGGTTACCAGAAACAGCAACGGGAGCCATCAACACTAGTACGAACAACAGCAAAGAGCCCTATTTGTCCGTTAGTTAATTCTCTGCTTCCGGAATTCTTCACATTTGTTTCCGAATGGATTTTTTTCTTGGCACAACGAAACCTTCGAATCCCTGCAAGGGCGGTAATTATGTACACAATAAGAGAGACAACTCTCTTGCTAATCTTTAACAATTTCTGGGATTGACAAGAAAACGGCAAGGTATTACATGCGACAAGATTTTCCGAATTGCGCGATGGGGTAGTTAATTTCGCGCGTAGACAGTTTTCTATGACAAACTTTATCTTGGCAGGAATGTAACATTTCAAGCATCCGATTTCGTTTGGCACTCGCATCCAGAGAACCCGCAGGCTACGCGAACACGAAGCCTGGCACGCGAGAAAGGGGTCATCAAAGATTAGCAATCATCGTATACACAGACAAGCATTCACGCACACAAACATACACTGTCATTTAATCCTGGGTACATAACTCTTGCACTGATTAAATAAAGCAGTAAATATATGTGTACGGCTGACAACATGCGTGTATTTGTGGTCTACTGAATGCTTACTTATTTTCTCCAGACGTTCACTTATGTGTGCTCATTTCCACTTTAACAATGAAGGCAATATACACAGGAGAGGGACAAGAAATTGGGCAATATAGAAGGGAAGTGGACAAAGGGTATTACGGACGATGGACATCAGGCGTGGATCTCCATGGTCAAGCGGAACTAGCCAACAGTGATTACGTAACACAAGCGATCTAAATTAGTGTCCCTTAACCTATTCATACTCGCGACCACCCAAACAGGAGACACATCTAAGCAAACACGACCCACCCAAACAGGGGACACATCTGAGCAAGCACGACCCACAAAAACAGGGGACACTTCTAAGCAAACAAGACACAGAAAACACATCCTCATTTTTGTCTTATTTTGCCAAAGTGTAAAGTCTGTCTGATCAGCCAAACGTAAGCTTGTCACTCTGTTGGCGAATTTGCTACTGCAGAGACAATATATGACGCTAAATCTCACAATTCCTGTTGCAAAGTCACCGTTTAGTTTTGACCCTGTCCGAACGTCCGATAAAGTGCAGGAGGAGATGTCCGAGGCCTGGCGTCATGAACCAGGTAGGCCCAATTTCTGAGATTGTCTACGAAGATAATAGGCCCCCACAAAATCATCGACGAAGGACCTTTCTAGTGATGATTGGCGGACCCCTGCTGTGCACGCTCCCCTGCGGAGTTCTTCTGATCTTACATGCGATGTCACAAAAATTACAATTTTCAGCTAATGCGACATGTATGTGGCTGGAGCCTTGTTTCTGATAAATGAAGCGCTACAATACCATCCACTGGATTTCTCTGTTTGGTTTTTATTATTGACATGTCTAAGAAAGTCTTTTCACACTAGAAAGTCCTCGAGCTGTTAACCCTACAGTCTTCTTCTCAAAGTCCATGCCCGGTGGCGTCGGCAGTCATTTCCCTCCCCAAACTTCTGTCTCGTGCACTTGCAAGCAACTATGACAAAGATGATCTTCTATGCCATGTCGTGTGGCGTTGGTAGTATTGTCTATCCACAACCTTCTGTCTCGTGCACTTGCAATCAACTCTGACAAAGATGATCCTCCATGGCGTGTGGCGTTGGTAGTATTGTCTATCCACAACCTTCTGTCTCGTGCACTTGCAATCAACTCTGACACAGATGATCTTCCATGCCATGATGTAAAGCTGTCCAGCATCTGTTCTCTTGGTCTCCCTTTGCCTCTTCTCCCCTCCAACTTTCCTACTGTCACAATGTACACCAATATTCTCCATCTCATCACACGACCAAAGAATGTAGAAGGGACAAATCATCGCTCCTACCTTGTTAGATGATTAGGCAACATTTGTTGGAGGGCCGCCTGGACTTCGTTGCGGACCACAGTGGGCTTCGGGCCTAGGGTTGAAGAATACTGATCTAAATTACGTACCGGTTACATGCAAGACTTACCGTTCTTGAACATATCATCATGTGCCGCGGCGGGGTGCAGAAGTTCCACGTCGTAGTTGGCCGAGGAGCTGGCGTTCTGTTCTTCCTGCCAACAGAGAGCACACGTCACTGGTTACAACTAGCAACAGCTATACCAACTCTAATCCGCAGACGACCGTGTGGATTTCGGAGATCCTTTTCGGGCAGGCTTGTAAGCAAAGAAAAAAAAGAGGGGGGGGGGGAGAGAGACAGACCCATTGTCCCGTACCAAGCATGTCGTATAAGCCGACCAACTATGTGTTTTTCTTTCGAAGTCGGAGTGTATTTGCCTGGGTGAAAAGGAATTAACATACTTTTTATAAATAAGTCAGATTTGTAAAACGGATGTGCACACAAAACTCAAGGTCCGAAACAAGATTAAAGTCCAGAAGTTGAAAAACAGTTACAACTTACTGCTCAGTGTCGCCCTAAGCACTCAACCCTGGGCGTCGGAACATTTGGACTCCCAGAAAGAAAAAAAATGGCGAATTTGCGTCAGCAAAACCATCCGGGAACGGATCACTTTTCAGAGCATCAGCGGTCAGCCAGTTATCGGCCACTCTGACCGGAAGTCCCTTTCCCAGAGCGTTAAAAGAAAAAAACGATTCCCTCCCTATCTGATTTTTTTTCTAATTTATTACCCCCCCCCCCCCCCCCCCCCCTCTTTTTCCCCCTCAATTGTTTTTTTCACCGTTTTCCCTCTACTAATTTATTTGAATCTGAATTTTTCAGTGATAGGTCAAACTAGTTATACTTTAATCACATTTTCACAGTGCATGTCTTATCCATCGACAGCGTTTGTCTCCTCTCGTGATTCACTGGAATTAATTTAGTTCTCACAAAAAGTCCAGCATTAATTCCTTGCATTTTATATAGGCACCAGTTAATGAAATGTTTGTAGTTCATTAGTAATTGTCGCACCAGAGGTTTTCCTCAACACAACGGTATTGATTGGATTCGTTTGATTAAACATTTTAAGTTGGATACACGTTTTAAATTTCTTTGACAACAGATTTCCTAGTGCAAACACAGCTCCTCTTGTTGTTTTCATAGTATTATGCCTCTATCGATGTTGCTTTCCGTGTCTATAAAATAAAGTAAAGGGTCCTTTTCCACGCCTTCACATGCACTGGGCACATAGGGCTCGACCCATATTTTACAGAATAATCCGCACTTGGTAGGTGACGTGGTCAGCACCACTGGCCGCCTTTACTTTTCACAACTTTACCTGGTATCCACTGAAGGCTGGGTCGACCTGGGAGTCAAGGTCATTGTAGAAAAATAGTGGCTTATACCTGTCTACACTGAGATCTAAATGAATTGTACAGTTCCACACGAGGTAACACTAAAAAATTCATCTAAAATAAAAATAGTAGTGAGAATAACAGCAAGGGTCAGACCAAATTACAATTAAATACTTTGTAACAAACTAAGAACAGACTGGATTGAGAGATAAACAACACATTAAAAATGAGAATCGTCAAATGGTATGAATACTCAACCCTGCTGAAGGAACAGAAACTTGGACAATCAACAGACAACTGCAACATGGAACTGAGTCTCATGGAAACAAAACAAATCATGGAACTGAGTCTCATGGAAACAAAACAAATCATGGAACTGAGTCTCATGGAAACAAAACAAATCATGGAACTGAGTCTCAGGGAAACAAAACAATCAGACACAGAGATTCTGCAGAGACAGCGAATGAACAAACAATTATTAAAATTTAAAAAGAGAGAGTGAAAGAGAGAGAGAGAGAGAGAGAGAGAGAGAGAGAGAGAGAGAGAGAGAGAGAGAGAGAGAGAGAGAGAGAGAGAGAGAGAGAGAGAGAGAGAGAGAGAGAGAGAGAGAGAGAGAGAGCTAAAATATTTTGTCAACAATCTGTGAAAAAACCATACTGGGGAAGGGAAAGCAGGTTGACGGCAAGAGGTAGACGATACAAATGGAAGGACAACTTCAAGAGATAGGCGAGCAGCATTCTGAAAGAGTGTACAATTAAAACAAGACAGACCGTACTGGAGATCCAATGCGGCCAACTTCATTGTGGAAACGGCACCTGACTGAATGGATGATGACGACAGCAACAAGTACGGCCAGAAATATGCAACAAGAACAGACCAACGGCCCCCTAACTAACATGTCGTAAAATTCGACTAATTAAGGGCGTGTATCTTTCTGAGGAACGAGGAACCAACAGTCTGCATACAAAAAAGAAGAATATAAGCAGGCGAAACACCATAACTGTTACGCCGGAGTTTACGGTCGGTGAACACGAAGAATAATAAGAAGGAAGGAAGAAAAAAGGAAGGAAAAGGAGAGAGGAAGAAAGGAAGGAAGGAAGAAAGGAAGGGAAAAAGAAAGGAAGGAAGAAGAAACATAAAAAGAAGCAGAAGCAGTAGCAGAAGAAAAAGAAGAAGAAGAAAAAGAAAAAGAAGAAGAAGAATAAGAAAAAGAAGAAGAAAAAGAAGAAGAAAAAGAAGAAGAAGAAGAGGAGGAAACCAGGATTCGTTCTCGTCTTTCATTGTATGTTAATGTTCAGTATTTAATGTTACACCCGACTTGATACAGTGAAATATGTTGGTCAATAAATTGTCAAATATTTTCTACGCAAGTAAGTTTTTAACCCCCCCCCCCCCCATCTTAAAGTCAAGGACCCTTTTCTAAGCCTTAAGACGCGCTGGGATAATATAGGGTTGGACACGCCCATCTTCAGGCTATTTATATCTCAAGATGGCCGTGGGTTGGACCATATACTTATAGACCAATCTTCACTTGGTGCCGCAGCCTTTGCTTCCAGGACCCCACCAGGCACCAGTTTAAGGCAAGATCATTCCAGAAAAGTCTGGCTCCATTAGGACCTGAATCCACGAACATTAGACCGGTAGACGAGTTTCTAGCCGCTACACAATGGCAGCTCTCAATATACTGTACGTGTCCCCATTATGTGAATTCACAACGAAGAAACAATGAAAGGAATAACATTATTTTGTTAAAGCAATGTTTGAGGTTTTGAGGTTTTGAGGTTTTGGAGTTTTGAGGTTTTGAGGTTTTGAACACAGGATCAACACCATGGCACACGGGTGTAACCCATAAGTGCACCGTTCTTCTTCTAACTCAGAGTCCGAAGAAGCTCAGCACAGTGCACAGGCTCTGTAGCACCGGCGAGGATTCTGAAATACTTTGGGCAGAATTTTAACTCCAACGTTTGCCCGGGCAGCGCCGTTAGGCTACTCTTTTCGATTTCCAACTGCTAAGAGATGTTTTACGTGCGCAGCAATGCACACGGGCGCCCAATCTCACTACCCAGAGACCAGGGGGAATTACTAGAAGTGCAAGTCCACGTGAAAAACGCCCAGCCCTAACCGAGGATTGAACCCGGAACCTCTAACACTCGAGGCTGACACCATGCCTCGAGACCACGCAGCCAACCCCCCTCCCCCTCCCGGTAAAAGGAAACTGAGACGTCTGTAGCGACTAAAGCAGAAGTAAAAAGAACTAAGAAAACAAGCCAGCCTGGACCAACTTTAGAATTACGTACAATTTTCACTTGTGACAGTTAGCTTCCCCCCCCCCTCCCCCCCCCCCCAACCACCACCCGTAGGGTCCAAATATTGCTTGCAGTAACAAGATCAGCCCCTGGAGAGTGGCTATTGACGCCGGCAGGTTTGTGGGTGGCAGACCCATACAAAACTTCCTTTTCTTATCTTTGTTTTACACAAAAAAGCCGGACAACTGGCCACTGAGTAATGGGCCACAGGAAACCTGCTGCAACTACGGCCTCCTCGGGAGTCGTTAGGTCTCCTGGCAAGGGGGATAATTATGTCAGAGAAGAAAACTTGCGGAGAAAACCTCGATCGCCGTCTGCGCTCAGTGGCAAGAGCAGCTATCGCAGGAGAATGTATATGGGAGGTTTACTATAGAAAGAGCAGAACTTCATACAAATGCCAAGGTTGTGTGTTAGGGGTTTGTTCCTATGGCGGTAAATTACTCACCGAACGGCTCTTAGCGGGTCTTGTCCTTATCAAACTGACATTATCATCATAATCATCATCGCCACAATATTCATCACCATCCTCATTATCATCACCTTCTCACCTTTATCATCATTACCACCATCAGCATCATCAATATTATCACCATTATCATCATCATCACAACCATCAACCTCATCATTCATCACCATTCTCATCACAACCATCAACCTCATCATCATCTCAATCCTCATCACCATCATCACTATTATCATTATCATCACCATCATAACCACCACCCACCACCATACACATCACAATCATCATCATTATCACGATCGTCATCACCATCACCATCATTATCACAACCATCATCACAATCATCATCATTATCACAATGATCATCACCATCATCACAATCATCATCACCATCATCACCATCATCACAATGATCATCACCATCATCATCATCACAATCATCATCACCATCATTATCACAATCATCATCACCATCCTCACAATTATCCTCACAATCATAAAATCATACGGTGTCAATTCTTCTGTTAACACTTTCTGCTCACCATGTCAATAGTGACCGTCGGACCGGCACTCCAGTTTAGGTAACCTCAGGGGGAATTAAACACAATTAGCCGGAGTTATCTGCCCCTAATGGTCTGGCAGGGGGAATAAATATCTGACACCGACAGATGGTGTGCAAATCTGCAGACAGTAAGTCTGGGCTGGGCAGAATCACAGGCGTCACAAAGACTACCTTAACACTTAACATCTGGGAAAAAGTTTTAGTGTTTGATATGACCAACAGTCCAGGAGAAGTAAGTGTTTGATGTGGTCGTCTTACTTAGATTAAGGATGTATCCAAAACCATTTATTTCGGTATACTTCGAAACACAAAGGAATAAAAGTAGGTTAAGGAAAGACATTCTGAAGTCACCGCGCGTATTGTCACAGAGCCTCCCCCTTAAGTTCGGTCACCCTGACCGCACATCTGCACGCTCTGTGGCTTCCAAGAATTTCAAGTCCTTCTTTGCATAACTGCTCATAAGTTTTCTGTTTCCAATATTCTTTATGGCAG